ATCCACTTCGTGAAGTAATCCACGGCCACAATAAGGAACTTGTTTTGGTACATCCCTTGTACGAATGGTCCGAGGATATCCATCCCTCACCAGGAAAATGGCCACGAGGATGACAGTATGCTCAGCTCGTGAGGGGGAGCGAGATGCATGTCAGTGTGCTTCTGGAACTTGTCGCACCTCTTAACATGATCTTTGGCGTCCCGTTGCATTGTCAGCCAATAGTACCCCGCCCGTAGAGCCTTCCTTGCCAGGGACTTACCGCCCATGTGTTGGGCGTTAATCCCTTCGTGTATTTCCCGTAATACCTCGTGGACTGTGGATTCGTCAATGCACTTCAAGAGGGGAATAGAGAATCCCCTGCGGTACAGTTTGTGCTCGAGCACCACGTAGGAGCATGCTCATCGTTTGGTAGTGGTCGCCTCTGTCCGATTCGAAGGGAGCTCGCCCTTAGTTAGGAAGTTGGACACCGGGGTCATCCAGCACGAAGCATCTCCGATGGCGTGAACCTCGACAAGGGTCGAGGTTCTTTTGATGCTCGGGCGTGATAGGGATTCTTCTATGACGGATTTGTTCCCGCCCTTCTTTCTTGTGCTTGCGAGTTTGAAAGTATGTCGACCCTAGTGTTTTGCTCGCGCGGGACGTGTGATATTTCTGCTCGGTCGAACGTCTTCATGTATTCTCTAACTAAGTTCAAGTATTCAATGAGGCTGTTGTTTTTAGCCTGGTAACTTCCTTAGACTTGGGAAGCGACGAGCTGAGAGTCTGTGAAGATTTGTACTTCGCGCGCCCCTAGGTCCTCGACTAGTCTTAGTCCCGCGAGCAGGGCCTCGTACTCTGCTTGGTTGTTTGAAGTCTAAAAGGAGAGGGTGAGTGAGTGCTCGATCACCACGCCCTCCTCGTTTTCCAGGAGGATTCCCACGCCGCTTCCGGATGAGCTGGATGCTCCGTCGACGAAGATAGTCCACTTGTGCTCTTTTCCTGCGGGGGGGGGGGGGGGGGGGGGGGAGGGGGGGTTGTGAGTGGTCATTTCTGCGATGAAGTTAGCCAGAGCCTGTGCCTTTAGGGCTTTCCTGCTCTCATATTGAATGTCGAAATCAGAGAGTTTCAAGGACCACTTCAACATTCGACCTGCCATATCAGGTCGACCCAAGAGCTGTTTCACTGGATGGTCAGTTCTTACTATGATCGTGTGAGCGAGGAAATAGTGTCTTAGTCTCCTCGCCGCGTTGACAAGGGCTAGAGTTACTTTCTCTATCTGTTGGTATCTGACCTCAGGCCCTTGCAGTGCTTTGCTCGTAAAGTAGACAAGTTTTTGTCCGTCGGGCATCTCGCGAATGAGAGCCGCGCTGACAGCTTCGTCCGAGACCGCCAGGTATATGAACAATGGTTCCCCGATAGAGGGTCGGGATAGAACGAGCGGTTGGGATAGGCTTTGTTTTAAGTGGCGCAATGCCTGTTCACATTCCTCGGTCTATTCGAAGGCTGCTTCCTTGCGAAGGAGCTTGAAGAAGGGGAGGGCGTGCTGAGCGGATCTCGCGACGAAGCGGGATAGCGAGGTGAGCATGTCGTTCATGACATGTATGGGTTTTTTCGACGTGGGTGTCGGGAGGTCAGAGAAGGCTCGACACTTGTCGGGGTTAGCTTCGATTCCTCGTTCTGTCAAGTAAAAACCGAGGAATTTCCCTGCCAAGACCCCGAATGTGCACTTCTCGGGGTTGAATCTCATCTTACATTGTCTTGCTTGAGAAAAGACTTCTTTGAGGTGAGATGCATGGTCGGTATCTGCTCGGGATTTGACAATCATGTCGTCCATATACACCTCGAGCATGCCCCCGATTTGGTCGTGGAACACTTTGTTCATCATAAGTTGGTATGTTGCCCCTGCATTTTTTAGACCAAAGGGCATTACGTTGTAGTAATAGTTTCCTGAGCTGGTCATGAAAGCAGTGCAATGCTTGTCGCTCACGGCCATTGGGATTTGGTTATAGCCTGAATAGGCATCCATGAACGACAGTATTTTATAACTGGCCGAGTTGCCGACCAGCATGTCTATGTTTGGTAGAGGAAATGCATCTTTCGGGCATGCCCGATTGAGATCAGTATAATCAACACACATTCGCCATTTTCCATTATTCTTTTTTACTAGTACAACATTTGACAGCCAGGTTGAATACCGGGCCTCAGAAATAAAATTTTCCTCTAAGAGGTCTTTTACAGCTTTTTCAGCAGCCTCCGTTTTCTCCAGGGACTGCCTACGCCTACATTATACTACTGCCCTAGCGGCTGGATCTATGGCAAGGCGGTGACAGGCGACCTCAGGGTCGAGTCCGGGCATTTCTGCAGTGCTCCACGCGAATAGGTCAACATTCTCGCGCAAGCAGGCTTTGATCTGTTTCCTCGCCAGGTCGGGGAGGCCGATACGGATCTTCACTCCTTTGCTCGCATCCTCGCAGAGAGGGACGAGCTCGAAGTCTCCGTTCGGTATTGGTCGAAGGGGGACTTGCTCGCCGTTGGAAGGCTCATCCGGGTCGAAGCGGGTGTCTAGGGCTATGGAGTCGACCTTTGGGGGAGCTCTCTGCTCTTCTTCCTTGACGGACTCTGTCTCCTCGAGCTCTAGTCGTGTGGTTGCTGGTCGCTTGGCGGGTCTTGTCCCGGTGTCGACCGTGTCGCGTCCCTTGGATGCTGCGTTGAAACATCTTCGGGAAGCTGCTAGGTCACCTTGGATGGTGGCGACCCGTGCCCTCTTGGCGTAAAACTTTATCTTCAAGTGGATGGTAGAGGGTACCGTGGTCAGTTCTTCCAATGTTGGCCTTCCCAAAATGCAGTTGTAAAGGGACGGACAATCGATGACGAGGAAGCGTACCTTGACCTGCCTGGTCGCCGTGTCCTCGCTAAAGGTAACCATGAGCTCGACGTATCCCCAAGGCTTGGAGGTCGAGCCGTTGAAGCCCTGCAGGTCTGACCCCACATAAGGTGAAAGGTTCGAGTCGTCGAGCTGCAGGTTCCGGAATAGTTGACTGTACATTACATCGATGGAACTTCCTTCGTCGACGAGGACACGATGTACGTCAAAGTTAGCCATTCTCGCTCTTATTAGCAGCGGGATGACCGCGTTGGGGGCTTCTCTGGGGAGTTCTTCGAGGTAAAAGGTGATAGGCTCCGATCTACCTTTCACCCTTTCAAAGGTCACCGTCTGAGGAGGTGCAGCGTCGACCAATTCATCCAGCTTCCTCTTGGCTTAATTTATGGTCAGATCGTTGAACCCCCCACCATTGATGACCATGGCAGAGGGAAAGTGCTCCCATCTACTGTGCATCGACAGCGGCTCTTGCAAGTGTTCGGGGACATAATAGTCCTCGAGTCTGGTGACAAAGAAGGCGGTCTGGATGGGGACCAACTCGTCAGATGGTCGGGCATCTTCCTCTGCTTCCCTTGTCTCACGGGCGTCGCGACAAGGAGCGTCATTTCGCTGGTACTGGGCGAGCCTCCCCCCTTTATGAGGGTCTCGATGGCTCGAACTGGTTTTGAGTGAGATGGGGGGGGGGGTACCTGCAAGATACTCTGATGCTAAAATGAGAGACGGAATGGGCAGGCAAAAAGTATATAGGCGTGTGATAGATGAATACTTGACCCTCTTGGAACAGAGGGTATTTATAGCCCCCAGCGCTGGGCCAAGGTCCCCTCATTGGGCTGACCAGAACTGGTCCAATAAAGGAACTGTCAGGTTCTACGTGTGTAGTGGGAACCCGCACGTGGTCCCCTTCCTGGGTGGTGCTCTGCGAAGAATGAGGAAGGACGAAGACGCGGTCTTTCCGGAGCTTTGAGGATTCCATAACGGTTATAGTGAACAGAATCTGCCCTACGGGGAGGGTGCTCGAGCTGGACTCGAGCTCGAAGTCCACTGGTCGGGAGGCTGCTCGCCGAGAGTAACAACGGGTGTTGCAGCTGTAGTCTGTGGTCGGGCACGTTCGGTGATGGTCCGATTGTGAGCATTCTCCGAGGAGCTGCTTGGATCTGGGCCTTTATTTTCACTTTGGGTCAAGGTGAGCCCAGTCCAGAACAAATACGATAAAAAAGTGTTGATTATATTAATGTATAATATTTAAAAGAAAAATATTGAATAGAATAGAAACAAAATTTAATGAGGTGAGAAAAATTAATATGTTAGTTAGAGTAACATAATATAAGAATTAATATAATTTTTTAAAAATTTATAACAATACAGATCTAATAGGTTACACGCTACTTATATGGGCTAACCCTAATGAATAACAAAACTTTTTAGAATTGGACTAAATTTTAAAAAAAAAATATAGACAACAATTTAAAGGTCCAAACTCTAAACTCTACATGTATCTTAGTAATTTTTGTTTTATCTTTTCCCATCCTTTTCACCTCTGTTTACTCATGTACTAATTAAGATACTGGCACATGATATGCATGATCAACAAATGGATTCTTATCCCTGCCTAAAACGACAAGTCAGTTCATCATCACTGTTGTGTTCTGTAGACTGTGGTCCGTGAATGCAAACAAACCTACCACAGTTTATCTGGTTTTGAAAATCAGAAACTTATATTTGCGCCCAGAAAAAAAAAATTAGTACTGTACTAATTAAAAGTTAGCCAAAAAAATAAAATTCTGAAGGAAGATCCAAATCATTTCACTACAATCTCACAGTAAATACAAATATATATGTACATGAACAAATTACAAAACAGGACATTTTTGTAACAAAAATATTATTAAAAAAATGCATACAATATTAAATTTTCTGTGTGCGCACACCTTCGGCCAAAACAGTCCGCTACCGCAAAAACAGCCGGCGACAAAACAGTTTCGGAAGAAGTAGATGTTGATATCGTTTTTACTGTTTTTTATATTGAATAATAAATTATAGTTAATTCCCATCGCGATGACCACAATACACCTATATCAATCGAAATCGCAAAAACCTTTACATGATCGATTGACCACGACCGTTTTTTAAACTCTTGCATTCAACAACCACCAGTTAAACATGAAAACATTCTATGACTCCTAGGCCTATCAAGATTTTTTGGAGGAGAAACAGAAACAGAACCAGATAATATCTGATCGGGAAACTGGAAACCGTTACCGACAGTTTTGCATCTCCGGTGACCAATATTTTTGTCTGAATTAGGTATCTGGTTGTGATGATGGAGTGGTTGATTTTGAGGATAGATCTCAGACATACTGATGTTGTAGGTTGCTGATGAAAGACACTCGTATTGTCGTCTTGTTCGGTTTTTCTTGACTGCTTTTAATACAAGAGGTAGAAGACCCTCCATAACGGTTTTGTTACTCTTGTAACTTGTTAGTGTAAATGTTTAGAACAGAATTTGAATACTATATATGTAAGAAATAGTAGGAATGTGATGATATGAGAGAGTGCAAAATGGAGGAATTTAAGAAGGAGATAGAAGAGCAAGTTGCTGAATTAGGTGGGTTTCAGTTGTTGTTTATAGTATTTTATTTTGTTTTTGTTTTTCTCTTCCTTTGTTGCTTCCGGTACTACTTTTTGACTTTTTCAACAATGTATTTGACTTAGGTAGCTAATATGAAGAAGCCACCTGGTACTGTGTGGTGTGCGTGACACGGCAATAAGAAAAAAATTATGTCCCATAAACCAACGTTCATATGTATCCAAGAAACAAAGACTATACATAGTCTTTGATGGAGATTTAACGATTTTGAGTACTAACAAATCTTCCAAAGAAAGGTTAGGAAGAATTTTGACATGACAAAAGAACATTTTCAAGGTCGTAGTCGTGTTTCGATTGTATTGCAGATTTCACGATTTTGGTCGATATATGAGTTGTGTTGTAAATAATGATAATAGTAGTGTGAATTACTCACAACATTGCACAGAATATGATTCAGGTAAAAAATAGTAGGATTTCTAAAAAAGTAGTGTGATTTCATTTTTACAATAAAACAAATTTTTAGTTTAAAATTTGAATATTTTGATTAGTGTAAAAGCCATTTGATTTGAACTTTTAGAATAAAAAATTGTGAGTGCAACTTCACTATTAGATGTTTTGTATGATGTCAAAGCTCGAAAAGTTAACATTTCAGTATGATGGACGATATCCTTAAGTCTTGTGGCACTCCCTTGTATTAGAGGTCTTAGAAACATTTAAAACAACTTTAAAATTGGTCACAATCATGAAATATCAGTTTTTGCACAAAATTAGTACTTATGTGTCGATTTGAAATTTCTATGTGTCGATACATAAATTCAACATTTATGCATTTTCTTAAATGTTTCAGTATGTGTCAACACATACGATTTATGCGTCGACACATGTACTTCAATATTAAAGCTTTCAGCATTTCAGCTTTAAAACATAGACGCGTGTGTCGACACATACGATTTATGTGTCAGCACACGTACTGCATTATTAAAGCTTTTAGCCATTGTTTCTCATGTGTCGATATATAAACTTTCCAGGTTGACACATACTGCTTTGTGGATCATTTTTTCATTATTTTTTATTCTGAAACTATCCTCTTTTACCTAAAAAAGGTCCAACTATAAATATATCATTCATGCATCATTCCAACTTGATGATGGCATAAAATAAGCATACTTTCTCTCTTCTTCTTCAACCTTCCAATCTATGCATACACACCAACATTACATTGTGATGATGTTCCGTCAGGGTGCCATTTTGTAAATTTCTTAGTTTTAAGGTTGGCATAAATTTTTGTAAAACAAATATAGCAGCAATATGTTAGATATGATGTATTAACTTGTTAACAGGAACGGGTTGAGCAAGAAGTCATGTCTTATGTTAGGACATGTTGAGTTGAAGAGTTTCAATATCTGGAACAACATGTCAGATAAGATGTCCTATGAAGAAGCATACGACATCGCGCTTGAGCTGAAGTGGAAAGTTAGATTCTGTTATGATTTAACTGATGCAGAATATTTTGAGAAATATTATACAACATTATAGAGCGCTGATTTAAAGGTCAATAAGAATCATCAGAATATTGAAGAATATACAATTTATAAATTTGGAGATAATTTAGGAAGATTTGATTGAAGACATTGTTTGTAGCAGAAGTTACTGCTGTTTGTTACAACTGATATGCTATACTTTGAAGGACCAAATCTAGTTGGGTATAGGTTATAAATATAAGTGTTTATAACCTAGGAAAGACATGAGTTCAAGATGTAGAAGTCTAGGACTTTGTCTTTTTGTCACTCTCTAGGAGAGTTAGTGTAAGTGAACCACTCGGATTGTGAGATGATCACTGTTGTTCTTACTCAGAAGTTGTGAAGTAATGAGTTGAGTATTGTTCTTGGAGGAAGCTTTGAAGAATCTCTAATTTGTGATCTTAGTCAAGAGTCTTGGATAGTGATTGTCATGGAAGTGTGTCTTCTTTTTTGTTCAGAATTGTGTTGATCTAATCGCTGTCTGTGATTGAAGAGAGATTGAGGATGACCTCATACCTAGGTGAGTTTTAGATAGAAATCTAGGAAGGATAATGATTAAGTGAGAAGTTGTAAACAGGGGAATTTAGCTTCAAATTAATACTATCATAGTGGAGCTTCTTACCACTAGGGTGGCTATACATCCGGTGTTATAAACAAAACCAAACATATATATTATAAAACAAGTCATGAATATGACTTCATCATCTTCCTCGCGCCAGAAGTTACAACACCATTTTTGAAAATGTTATCTCCTTCATTTCTCAACCATTTTAAAAAATGTAAACAAGAAAGTTATTTATTTTTCACCACGAATCCAACCATACCATTAAATTAAGCTAACAATCAAACATTTTAAAGTGAATTTCTGTTGGTACCAAACTGAACCCTAAAATTTCAGAAATTTCATCTCCAAAATTCTCAACACACAGTCAATATAAATAAAAATTATGGACATGGTTAGTTTTAGAGCAATGATATCTACATTTTTACTTCAGAAAATAAATGTAAATGATGCTTGTATCAAGATATCCCGTTCAGAAAACTTACCTCTAAAGTGAGAATTGTGTATGGAGTTTGAGCAACCTTTGAGGTGTCTTAATAATCTGTTTAGCTTGTCTGGACCTCCCTGAGTGTGTTGCAACCCTTACTTTGCTTTGAGAGTCCCTGAATCTCCCTACTCAAGTCAAACTGCAAGCTTGAATATTGGAAATGGTTGATGATGAAGATGGAGTTACAATCCACAAACAGGTGTTGGGATCACTCTTATATGATGTGTAGAAGGTGTATGAATGATTAGAATTGAAAATGCATGAGTAGATTTTGTGATGGGTGTTTGAAACTTCAAAAGTGTCACAAAATGCAAGTTCTGTGTTTTAGAGTGTGTGAGAGGTTTTTGAGGGCTCTTGAACTCGTGCCTTTTGTTGCAAATAGTATTTCTAAATATAAGAAAAGGGTTATAAGACTTGAAGTTAACCTATGTGTGAGATCCCAAGTTGTGTCTAGGTTGCTTGATTTTGAAGAAAAGTGAAAAACATGGTTTTAAGGCATAATACAAGCATGGTTTGAGTTTGTTGGATTCTCTAGACATGTTGCTTCTAGATTTGACATTGCTTGTACTCAGATGAAACAAGTTGGGATCTCAAGAATTTGACTTTGCATAAAGGCTTGCTTTACTAGAATGGAAGTGGTGTTTTTATGCCATAAGTGCAAAAGTCAATTGAACAATAGCTCAAACACTTGGATAATGGTTTAAAAAATTGTGTAATCTTCTTATTATGGATAGATTTGGAGGTTTAGAGGCCTGAAAAGTAATATTATGAAGCATGGATATGAGATTGATCAAATGTTCATCAAGAAAATGACCTATAATTCAAGTTTATGAGGCCATCTTTATCTCTTCGAAACTTCTAGCTCAAACATGATCTCTTCAAGTTCCTAGATATATTGGAAAGCTTAAAACATTCTCTACAACCTTCATGTTGACCATTTTGACAAAATCATCTTGGATCTATGTGAAAAATGGCCAAGAAGTTGGGATAAAAATCTACCTAAACTAGGTCAAATTTTCACCAAGTGTTTTTAGAAAAAGTGCTTGACTTCATGAATTTATAACTCAAAATTCAAGCACTTATAGAACTTTATCAGTAAAGCAAAGTTGTAGATATCATCAAGATCTACAACTTTCATGTTGAAAATTTTCTTTGAATCATCTTGCATCTTGGTGAAAAATTGGCATGAAGTAATAAAATTATCATGTATAAAACACTTAGAAAAATTTCTAAGTCTTGAAAAGTTTGACTTTTCACATTGACTTTTGACTTTCTTGATTTATTGATGATAAAGCTTCATATTTTTGAATTTCTTGAAGAATTGTGATATTTGAAACTCAATATTGATCAAAAAGTCAAAGTTTGACTTTTGGTGTATCAGTTGACTTTTCATCAGTTGACTGAATTTCAACTATCAATCAATTGTTCTTGAGAAATGTTTTGAGCCATGAAATTGGGTCATCATGTTGTGTTTGAGTCTTTGAGATCATGCTTCAAGCCATTAGTTTATGTACTAGGTCAAAAGTCATTGGCCAGTCATTTTCAGTCAAAGCCCTAATTATGACCATTTTGCCCTTTTGATGTTTTGACTGTTTTCTTCTTGAGGAATTGTGATGATACCTTGATCAATTGATGAATATGACTTTAAAATATTTATGTGGATCAAAAATATTGAATTTTTACTATAGTTTGACCACAATTTACTCTTACCCAATACAGTTGATTTTTAGTCATCTGAGTAATTAACTGAGCAATTTTTGAGATGCAAGACTTGAAACTTGACATGAGCATTCTTAAAGACCTATAATGAACCATAAAAGTCACTTGAGGCATTAAAAGTCCAATTTTCCTTTTTAAAAAAAATCAAAAACCCTAATTTGAAGCATCCATTTTTTAAGAGATGGTTTGACCTAGTCAAACTTCTTCCATTTTGAGCCATTAAAGATCTTGTGAGAAATGTCTTGAAAAAAGAGAGGAAAAATTTTGGGGTACAACAACAGTCTTGCATGTTTTGTTGCCCATGGATTTGAGAAAGACAATCATCATAGGATTCCAATAATCATAATTGGTGTCATCCAAAAACAAGTGGTTTGTTGATTGATCATCCATCTTTCATTGTGTCCATTTGAGCAGAATTTATCATCCCTAGAGCTCACCAAACAAGCTAGGGTTACTGCTCTAATACCAAATGAAATTAGTTTCCTCAGGGGATAGATGTCGAATCTGATATCCTGGCACTTGGTTCAACAAGTTAACCCAGAATCACCATAATTAACACAATCTAACTTGTACAAGA